TCCGCTCTCCGACGCTCAAAGACGGCCCAAGAGGAGTCCAAGAGCGCCCCAGAACGGCCCAAGAGGTTTCCAAGAGCGCCCCAAGACAGCCCAAGAGGGCCCCAAAACGACCCAAGAGACGCTCAAGACGGCCCACGAGGGCCCGAAGACAGGCCCAAGAGGGGGCCAAGGGGGGGACCACGGACCGAAAATCCGAGCCTTCCGCCCCAACAGGGCGCCAGGAGGCCCAAACAGGCCCCCAAGAGGCCCCAAGGGGCCGCCAAGAATCCCCCGAAGAGGCCCCAGGAGGCTCCCAAGGAGCCCAAACGAGGCCCCTACAGAGGCTCCAACAGCTTCCAAAATGGCCCCGAAGAGGCCTCGAGCCCACCTCCGAGCTTCCTCGCCGCGAGGGTGCCAACACGGCCCCAAACCGGCCCAGGACGGCCCAAGGCGCGCTCAAGACGGCCCAAGACGATTCCAAGACGGTCCCAGGAGGGTGCGCCCAGGACGGCCCAAGGACGCGCCCGTTCGGGGCCTCAAGACGGGCCACGATGGCAAGAGAGTCCCAGCTGGCAAAAATCGTTAATTTTCCATTGTTTACTGTTACACCCTTTGCGTTTCCCGCCGTTTCGGCGGTCCGATGCACCAAGAGGCCCCAGAAAGTCCCAGGAGGGTCCGAGGAACCGCCCAGGAAGGCCCCACGACGGGCCAAGACGGACCCAGCACAACCCAAGGCGCGCTGCGACGGCTCAAGACGGCTCCAAGATAGCCCCAAGAGGGTGCCGACACGGCCCCTGCTGGGCCCAGGACGGCCCAAGGAGGCGCACAGGAGGGGCCCAAGACGACTCCAAGGCGGCCTCCTCACGGTCCCAGACGGCTCCAAGACAGCCCCACGAGGACCCCGATGGGCCCAGGACGGCCTACGGACGCGCCTATATGGGGCCCACGACGAACCAAGACGGCCCCATCAGGGCAAACGGCGCCCTCAAGACGGGCCTAGACGGCTCCAAGACGGCCCTTTGAGGGAGCCAACGCGGCCCCACACCCTTCGGGCGCACACTTGGGGGGGGCTGGGAGCTTGCGACAAGTCTCCCACATCCATTGTCCTGCCCCATTCTGTTCGCCTGGAGGCCTCCTCCAACCCTGTGGGCGAACAAGAGGAATCCCAGCGGGACGCCAACCCTGGGGCCCGTGGGCCCCGCGCCGCTTGGGCAGAAGACGAACGCCGGGTCTGACAGGCCAGCTACCGCCCCCCTTTGCCCGATTTGCTGTGCCATTCTGTTCCCCCAGGGGCCTTGGCAAACTCTTCGGGCCAAGCAGACCGGACCCCTGGGACAGCAGCCAATTGATATGACCCTGGGACCTCTCCGCATTCTTCGGACGAGCATCTGGGGGTCCCAGGAGATTCGGACATGTCTTCCCCATTCCTTGCCCTGTCCCGTTCTGTTCGCCCGAAGGCCTCCACAGACCCTCTGGGCGAACAGAATGGGACATGGCGAACAAACCCTCCCGTTGGCGGTGATGCGACTGGATCGCACCATCAAGGCGCGCCCGGAGGTAATGGCCGACCCAACAGCGGTTTCTCTTAAGAGTTCACTGGATTTCAAATTTTCTTGAAGCTCTCTTGGGCCCTCCCTGTAGATCCTTGCGAGCCTCCCCCGCGCTTTCGGTGGCTTTCCCCGATGGCCTCCCGAGCCCTTCCCCGAGCGCTCCTGAGACGCCTCAGATGGGCTTCGACTTCGACGCACATCCCCGAGAGACTTCGAAACTGTCCTCAATAGGAGGGGGTGAACGAGCAGTGCGCTGGGCCAAGCTGCTGCAGCGCTGCAAGAGCTCGGACACGAAGGCGCGGTCTCGCTGCCGCCGCCCGAGCCGCCGCCGTGTTTGTAGATTTTCGGTACAATCTGCGCCGTTCCTCCGAGAACCATTCCAGAAAGATGTCGTGGACGGAGTCCGCGGGTCAGCCCTAGTCTCTACTACATTGCAGGGCCCAGTGCGTGCCAGAAGGGCGCAGGCCCCAATGCACCGAAACCGCCCCGGGCTGGCCCCGGGCCGCCCAGGGAGGCCCCAAGACACGTCAAGAGGGCCCCAAAAATCCCCCAAGACACGCCAAGAGGGCCCCAAAAATCACCCAAGACGGCCTCGGAGGGCCCTGGCACGCCCCAAGATGGGCCCAAGACGCCCGAGATTGGCCCAAGACGGCTCCACAGGCCTCCAAGACGCCCCCAGAGGCCTCCCAAGAGGCCTCCCAAGAGGGCCCCGAGCGACAGAAATCGTCGATTTCCATTGTGTTTTCCGATGGTTTCGGCCTTCTCGCCTTTTCGGCCTCCCGACGCTCCAAGACGGCCCAAGAGGTCCCCAAGACCGCTCCAAGACGGCCGAAGAGGCCCCCAATAGAGCCCAAGACGGGCCAAGCGGGCCCCATGCCGGTCCCAAGAGCGGCCCGAGACGGCCCCAGGACGGCCCAGGAGGCGCCCAAGACGGCCCAACATGCGCCCAAGACGGCCCCAGGAGCAGGTTCCAATGGGTCAAAACCGCCCCGGGCTGGCCCCGGGCCGCCCTGGGCCGCCCAGGCAGGCTCCAAGACATGTCGAGAGGGCCCCCAGTGATGAAAAAAGGAGAAAAAAAAAAAAAATAGAAACAACAAAATAAAAACAAGAAATAAAAAAAAAAAAAAACAAAAAAACAGAAAAACAAAAAAAAGCCTCCTTTCCAAGACGGCCCCGGAGAGCCCCGGCACGCTTAAAGATGGGCCCAAGACGCCCGAGATTCGCCCCAGGCGGCCCAAGAGGCGTCCAAGACGCCCGCAGAGGCCTCCCAAGAGGCCTCCCAAGAGGACCCCGAGCGACAGAAATCGTAGATTTCTACTGTGTTTTTCTATGTTTTCGGCCTCCTCGCCTCTTCGGCTTCCCGACGCTCCAAGACGGCCCAAGAAGTCCCCCCGACCACTCCAAGACGGCCGAAGAGGACCCCAAGAGAGCCCCAAGACGGGCCAGGAGGGCCCCCAGACGGTCCCTAGACGCCCCAGGACGGCCCCAGGACGGCCCAGGAGGCGCCCAAGACGGCCCAAGAGGCACCCAAGACGGCCCCAGGAGCGGCCCAAGACGGCCCAATACAGCCCAAGAGGCGCCGAGGCGGGCCTCAGACGGCCCCAAGACGGCCCAAGAGGCACCCAAGACGGCCCGAGAGGGCCCTAAGAGCCCCCCCGGGAGGCCCAAAAGAAGGCCGAAGAGGCTCCGAAACGGCCCCCACGACGCCTTCAGTGGCTTCAGAATTCCCTCCAGGAGCGGGGGAGCGGACGAGAGGCGACAGGCATATCGCAGGCAAAAACGCCCGCGCTTGCCCAGAGACCCCTCGCCACGTCGAGCTGATGTCGTGGACGGAGTCCACAGGTCTGCCCTAGTCAGCTACAGCGCTGGGATCAGCGCGTGCGAGAAGGGCGAGCAGTGGCAGCGGGCACTTGCGCTGCTGAGCGAGATGCGGGAGGCGAAGCTGGAGCCCGACGTCATCTCTACTACAGTGCAGCGTTCACCGCTCGCCAAAATGGTTAAGCAGTGGCCGCGGGCTGGCCCCTCCGGAGCCCTCCCCGGGCGCCCTGGCAAGCTCTGGTCGACTCCCAGCGCGGCTCCGACGCTGCCCCAGGCCGCTCCGAGACGCTCCGAGATGCCTCCCCGGAGGCGCCCTGGGAGCTCAGCAGCCTCCCCCTCGCGCCCACGATGGCCCAAGACACCCCAACACGCGCCGGCAGGAGCGTCTGAGGGGAAAGAGGCATTTCCTGGGGAAAACGAGCCGCTCCCGAGACGGCCTTGAAGCCGCGAGGAGCCCCCCAAATGAGCCCAAGAAGATATCAGGAACTTCGAAGAGAGCCCCGGGAGAGGCCTAGGAAGACCCCGCGAGAGGCCATGCACTGTTCGTTTTGAGCACCCCTCAAAACGAACACCTCGAAGCTCATTTTGGTTTCGTCCTGGCGCCCTCGAGGCCCCTACCAAGACGGCCTTGAAGCCGCGAGGAGCCCCCCAAAGGAGCCCAAAAAGATATCAGGAACTTCGAAGAGAGCCCCAGGAGAGGCCTAGGAAGGCCCCGCCACGGGCTGGGCACTGTTCGTTTTGAGCGCCCCTCAAAACGAACACCTGGAAACTCGTTTTGGTTCCGTCCTGGCGCCCTCGAGGCTCCTCCCGAGACGGCCTTCAAGCCGCGAGGAGCTCCCGAAATGAGCCCGAGAACATCTCAGTAATTTCGAAGAGAGCCCCGAGAGAGGCCTAAGACGACCCCGCGAGAGGCCGCGCTCTGTTCGCTTTGAGTGCCCCTCAAAACGAACACCACGAAGCTCTTTTTGGTTTCGTCCTGGCGCCTTCGAGGCCCTTACGGAGACGGCCTTGAAGCCGCGAGGAGCTTCCCAAAGGAGCCCAAGAAGACCTCAGGAACTTCGACGAAGAGAGCCCCGAGAGAGGCCTAGGAAGACCCCGCGAGACTGGGCCCTGCCGACGCCTTCGACGCAACCGCATTTTTTGACGCCTTGCCGAAGGGTGTTATCGCGCTGCGTTCCAACGCTGCAGAGGGACAGGCGGGAGAACCCGAAGGAGAGGAGAATGAAGAGGAAGATGAGGGACAGGATGAGGGGGACGAGGATGATCAAAAGTGCATTGAGAATGATGAGGGAGTCAGGAGGAGGAGGAGGAGGAGGAGGAGGAGGAGGAGGAGGAGGAGGAGGAGGAATAGGAGGAGGGGAGGAGGAGGAGGAGGAGGAGGAGGAGACGGAAACGGAGGAGGAGGAGGAACATAATCAACAGAAGGATAATGAGGTGGATGGGAAGCCATCCATGTTTTTCTCCGCTGTCTGCTCCATCGCGCTTCCGTTCCCAATGCGTTTTGCACATGGCCCGATCGAGCCTCCTCATTCCCCATGCTCCTCAATCAGCTCGGCGACATGTGGAAGACGAGCCTGCCGCCATCCATCGTGATCGCCTGACGGCAGCGCCCCATCACTTCGCAAGTGGACGTAGTCCACGGGTACACCCTAGTCTGCTACAGCGCTGGGACCAGCGCGGGCAAGAAGGGCGAGCAGTGGCAGCGGGCGCTTGCGCTGCTGAGCGAGTTGCGGTAGGCGAAGCTGGAGCCCAACGCAACCAGCTACAGCCCTGCGATCGTCGCTCTGCTCCGCAGAAGCGATGCGACAGGCTAGTCAGCCACACCGCTGGGGAACAGCGCTTGAGTGAAAGGTGGTCAGTGGCCGCGGGCTCTGGCGCTGCCGAGCGAGATGTGGGAGGCGTTGTTGGAATTCGGACGTTATCAGAACTTTAGCGTTGTGATCACTGGGTGCAAGAAAGGGCGAGCAGTGGCAGCCGACGCACGCGCAGAGTTTCCCAAGACACCTCACCGCCCGACGTCAATATAGGTTTGGAAGCGCGATGCCGCGGCATCCCCCCAACAGAACTGTTGGGGACCCCCGCTCTAGCCTTCAAAGCCTCCTCGAGACACCCAAGAGGACCAGAACAGCCACAGGGGGAATCAAACAATCCATCAAACAGGCCCCTCGAGACGTCTCGGAGCTCCCCCGGACGCCCCACAACTCTGTCCGCCGGCGACACGCTGAGGCATGCCTCTCTCGGAGACATGTTTCATGGCCCCCCCGATCGCCCCTGGAGTGTCCCCGACACCCGCCCGAGGCCTCTGCAAGGTCCCGCGAGAACCGACAAAAATCCAGAGAACCACCGAAGAGGTCCCCAAAAACTTCCGTAGAGGCCCGCAACCACCCAGATTCGGAGGAGGCGATGCCAGGCCAAAAGACCAGCCGGAAGGAAACCCGAAGAGGCCACCATAACCGCCATAGGGTGTTCATTCAAGGCAGTCGATTGCAAGTGACGGCGTTGGGCCCACAGGCACGTTTCCAATTCTTCACGCTTCGCGTTTCCCCACCAGCCCCTAGCTTCGTTCCCGGCCGCTGCTTTTTAGGTCTTCGTCGGATTTTATTGACGGCGCGCGGCTCCTTCGCTTGCGCTCGCGAGCAACAAAGTTCCCCCACCAGCCCAGTTAGAAGCCCTGCCCATGAGAGCGGACGAGAAAAGGGACGAAGAGACACATCTAGGGAAACAAAGTGAGCAACCAGGGTGAACCGAGAGATCTCTGGAAGCAAGGGGGTGGCCTTGGAAGGCCTCTTCATCCCTGGGGGCCGCGTGGGGGCGAGGGGAAGAGGAGGAAGAGGAGGAAGAGGAGGAGGAGGACGAGGACGAGGACGAGGACGAGGAAGAGGAGGACGAGGAGGACGAGGACGCGGATCAGGACGAGGACGAGGAGGACGAATACCAGGATAAAAACGACGCGGACGAGGACTCATGGAACCATCTAGAGGTGTTCTTGCGGCTGCCGCTGCTGCTGGTGCTCTCTGGGAGTTTTGGGCAGCGGGCAACCAGAGGGTAAATTGGAGAATCGGAGGCCTCCTTGAAGCTACGGGGTTGTTTGAGGGGATATTGGAATCCTCTTGAAGCTCTTTTGGGGCATACTGGAGCCCTCTTAGGGCTCTTCGGGGGTCTTGGGGTCCTTTTGGGGCTCTTTTGGGGCGCCTTAAGGCGCTCATTGGGCCTTCTTGGGGCTTTTTGGGGGCTCTCTTGGCGTTCTCTTGGGGCCCTCTTGGGAGATATGGAGCGCCTCTTGGGGCCGTCTTGGAAACCACCGATCAAAAGGAGGGGGGTCCTCGATTTGCCTCCCCCCATCCGGGGCCATCAAAATCGCCTCTTGGGGCCCTCTTCGGACGCTCTTGGGGCGATCTTGGGCGTTTTTTGGGCCGTCTTGGGGGCCTCTTGGACCCCTCGTGGAGCTTTATTGGCCCATCTTGGTACTAAGGTTACTTCATCTACTTGTATTATTGATATTTATACTACTACCGCTGCTACTGACATTACTGCTACTGCTACTACTACTACTACTACTACTACTACTACTACTACTACTACTACTACTACTACTACTACTACGACTACTACTACTA